CTGCACTGCCCCAGACTTTGCTGTAATCAGGACTTACGTATTGAAGATTAAGTTCAAATCAGAAGGGAATAGTTAAGTGCTCAGGGCCCTTTGTCAGTCACATAATGTATCTCTGTTGATTTGGGGGAGGGGCTACTCTGGAATACCTCGTGCTGATCCTAGAGGTGCAAAAATGGACAAGGTGTAGACTCCCCTATTGTTGAGAAGCTCAGTGTCCAGGCAGAGAGGGACAGACTGGGTCATGTAGGAGGCCAAAGGGTAGCACCAGTAGGACAAAGGCAGAGATGACAGGCACAGGGAGTGCAGCGGAAGAGGGAGGAGCCATAGGTGGGAAGGCGGCACAGAGCCCAGCTCATCTCCCAACACCAGCGAGTCCCCAGTAGGGTATATCTGAAACAATGCACTTCTTAGGGTACTCCATCCTCAGGACTTCACTACGGAGTGTGCTGGCTCCGTGGGGAATATGTGTGCCATTCCCAGACCAAGACAGACCTCACTGTAGGGGATGACTGGCTCCAGAGATCTGGAAGAAAGGCCTGACATGCAGCCTGACTCTGCCACGCCTTCTAAAGCAAGATTTGCACTGGCTTGCCTCCTCGAGGGAGTTGCCAGCAGGCGTGGGCCATGCAGACACATTCTCAAAGCAGTCATGGAAGCAGCAGATAGTTATTTTCATTGGCACAGTCCCAGAAGTCCTGGGTAAAGGAGCCTCAGAGCAGGAGCCTCCAATCTCAGGAGGCCCATTTCAGACTACCTTGGCTGGCGTTCTGGGCCTGTACCTGCCGCTCCCTACCCACTAGCCACACCCCTCCCCCATCCTATGAGTCCTAGGGAATGGACCCTCTCATCCTGCTGCATGTCCTTTTGTCCTGGTGGCAGGAAGTGTACCACACATTTTGCAGGGTTGCATTACAGAGTGGACTTAAGCAAGCACTGAGACTCTGCTAAAGAAGCAAAGTCGTGTCATCCTTGACTGGAGGCCAGAGAAAAGCAGCGCCTGGCCCCTTCTCTCCAGGACTGAGGAAGAGGTGAGGCCTCTCTCAGGCAGCAGCGCAAGTGGTCCCTGGCAGGCCAGAGTCCACAGCTCCAGGTCTGGCTGGGATGAGCTGCCCTTCTGTCTGAACATCGGGTTCAGCACAGGGCTGCTGAGTAGGCAGAGGCATTTTTCAGAACTAGACTTCACTTTCAATGGAACAGATTTGTTTTGGAAGACCCTTGGCATGGTCAGCATGAGGAAAAGGAAGTGGCCAAGCACACAAGCTGAAGGGAACAGTGAGGCAGCTTCAGAATGCACTGGAGCAGGACCACTTTGCTGGTGTAAGCCCAGTAGAATATGCAAAATGGAGCCCTGCTGTGAGGTGGACACAAAGCCACCGGACAGCCTGACACCATCAGCCCAACCTAGTGAGTCATTTAAGCGTAGATAGGCCTGGGGCCACCCAGAGCCTGGTCTGCCTCCATTCCACCCACATTCCAACCCCAGTGACCCCAGGCCTGGCCTGCTCTGTGGTGAGCCTGCTGTGGAGAGCTCTGGACCGCCGGTCCCAGTTGATCTCTCCCTGGAGTGGTTTAGGCCCCATACAAATTCCCGCTAGGACCTAGTGACTAGGTGGTACAAACAGGATCCCACCTGCCACGTACATGCTTCATACTTGGATACCAAGGTGGCTGCTTGAATGTCAGTCTTAGCACCTAGCCAAGCTAAGGACCAAAGCGTTGTCCTCCTACCAGGGTACCATAAGCCAACAGTACTTAAGAGTCCTGGCTGGCCTGGAACTCAGATCCACCTGCCATGGCTAAAGGTGCGTGTCACCACACCAGCTACTGTTCATCTTTAAGTGGGAACTATATCTGACAAGGTGTGGGAGTCAGGACGTGAGCCCCAGCCAAAACCCTTGCTGTGTCCTCAGCAAAGCAGAGAGCAGTGTTTGAAGTGAAGCGGGAAGTTGCCTGACCCAGATGTGGGTCCCAGCTTCTTAGGTTGTCACTGTGGAAGAGTTAACCTGCAACCCTGTGAGTTCTATGGGTAGCTGCCTTGGACACCTGGGAGGCTTGCTAAGTACCAGGCTGGTCAGGAAGAAGTGCAGTGTAAAGAACCCTGCAGGCAATTGCAGCCTTCTAAACTACTATTGGGAGAAGCAGGACCCACCCCTGAGAGTCCTGAAAGCCCCAGTTAAAAAGCAGGGGAAGTAAGCCCATGACGAGGCTTAACTGAGCTCCACTTGACCTAGAATGAGGCTTTTCTGAGCCTCAGTTTCCCCATCAGAATAGGGTGGCAGTGGATTCCTTCCTGGTACTGTTTGAATGGACTACCTACCAACTGTGATACATTAAATTCTTAGAATATAAATAGAAGAAAAAAGAACAATACTCCCAATTTTACTGGGGTGGGGCTGGGGCAATACCTCAGTCAGCAGATCTCTAACTAGTAGTACAAAGCCCTTAGTTTAATCCTAAACACTGCACCGCAAAAGGCACAGTAGCGCACATCCATAATCCCAGCTGCTGCTCGCTGGAGGCAAGAGAGGGCTGGGGGTGTCGCCCAGTGGCAGAGCACTTTACCTAGCGTGTGCAAAGGCCCGAGTTTGACCCTCAACAGGGCGAAAAGCATTGCCTTATATAAGCAGTGCATGTTCACTGAAGGAAATTTGGAAAAAGAAGTATAAAGAAGGAAATCACCTGTTCCCCCACCACCCACAGCCGACGACTGTTCTGGGGGTTTTTCCATACATAATCTGTGTGGGATCTCGGTACGAGCTGTTTTATAACCCGTGCTTGCCTCTCTGCTTCCTCAGCCTGTCTATACGCCAGTGAGTGTGAAGTTTGCCGGAGCAAAGTGGGAGGGGTGGGGTTGGCTGGGCTCTTTGCAGGTAAACAGCCCTGACCAGCTCTTTCCTGCTCTAAGCAGTTGTGTCTCCTGGTTATTTCTGTAGGCTTACAGTCTTCCTAGTCAGTGTCTAGAAATTCTCTCAGCGCCAAGGTGGGGTTGGGGAGGGGTTCTGTTAGCGTGGGTGATTGGAGGTTAGGAACCCCACTTAAAGAGTCTCGGTGGACAGAGCACTCACCCCTCATCCCTATCAAAGGACAACCCCAAGCAGTGCTGGTGGCTCGAACTTGAAATTCTTCTCTGGCTGTTCCTGGCAAGAAATCAGGGCGTTCCCAGGTGTGCCAGGGCGGGAGGGGGACGCTTAGTGTGACCCAGGTGCCCCAGGGAGCTGTGCCCCACCCCTGCCGCCTAGGTGCGTGGTGCCCTCCTCCTTGCATCCACCCCCAGGTTCCATCCCAGCAGGGCGAAGCCAGGCTCAGTGAATTCATTTGACTCTCAAATCCAGAGGAAAAGAAGGGCTGTTTGGTGAGTGCAGGCAGGCAGATGGAGCCATCAGAGTGGCATGTGTACAAACCCTGCTTCAGCCCCAGCTCCAGTGCTGCTTACAGTGAAACATGCAGCACATTGCAGAGGGAACGCAAGCACCCAAATTCTCCTGCTGGCTGGAAGAGTTTGAGGTACGTAGGAAAGCCCAGATACCAGGAGAATCCTGAGGTTCAAAATCTTTTCAGGCTAAATTCTGCCCACTGGGGTCTTCCTGGATGTGCAGTGAGGCATGCATAGACAGAGTTGGGTTCCCAACTGTAGTTCTCCGGATCCTTAGGGTCTGGGTGGGGAGAGGGATGCTCAGTGCTCTGCCCACTTCCAGTGGGACACAGTTTCTCTTCCAAGTTCAAGGGAAGGAGGAAGGGCAGTGTTCCAGGCAGTTATAGGAAGCTGAACCACACTGCAGGGGTACTGTGTTCCTGCCTCCCGCCGTTCTGTTTTTGTTTTTGAGGTTGTAACAGCAGACATGGAGTGTTTTGGCCATACATGTCCCCCTGTGCCTCCTGTCCCTGCCTGCATCCATCCCTGCTTTGTCCATGGAGGTGGTCGAAGGACCGCTTCTTGTCACCAGACTGAAGCCTGCAGCATGGCTGGGCCAGCCACTGGCTGGAGGACATCAAAGCTGAGTTGATGCCAGCCCCCATCCTGGTCTAGCCTAGGCCCCCGGCCTTCTTGACAAAAGTTCTAGCTAGGAACTAATTAGGACATCCGAGGAGAGGAGCACTCCCAGGGGACCTGCCTTGCCCTGCGCCCAGCCTACCCAACGAGATGGATGAGTATACCATGTTCCAATGTCCGTGATCTTTAGTGGACAAGCATGTAGTGACAGCGACCAGCAGGTGGCAGCACAAGACTCATCTTGGAGGAGGCGCTGTGTGGGTGGGAACCATACTTCCAGCCCCTGGGTTGATGTCCTTTCTCACTTTCAAATGTGGGCCAGATCCCTTCATGAGGCCCAGCCAGGATAGGCCACCGGGAAGATGGCTCTTTAGACAGCCCAGTCTTCTGTCCAGGGCCCCTGATGTGAGCCTTGTAATTCCTTCCCCTTGACTTGTCCATGATAGGTCATAGCAGAGTTACTCTGTCTCCTAGATGACGTGGCACAGAAGCTAGATGAATGGGAACATGAGTGCCTCCTCCCAACCATCAGGGCCCTGGAGAACAAGCTGTAAATAAAGGGGAGTGGACTGGAAGGACCCTGCTGCAGCTGCATGGGGCTAGAGAGCTGGGCTCAGGGACCAAGAGGAGGCCACTGAGCATCCCGAAGAAGAGGCTGGAGGAGGTGTTGGAGAAGGGTGGGGCCTGGAGGGGGGAGGAAGCAAGGGGTGGAACTTTGGATTTTCAGGCTGCCGGGAAGACAGCAGAAAGGAACTGGGAGCGGGTCAAGTTTCTGACTCCCTCCTCTGGCTGGAGCTGAGGAAATGCTAGGCTCCACCCTGCAAAACGGAGTGTCCTTAGATGCTCAGGCTGGAACTGAAAGTCTTAAGAGAGCACCTCCCTCCCTCCCTCTCCACCCCGTATCTTCTATGGCTAATATGCCATCTTCCAGTTGACACAAATGGCCAGCCAGGCCACTCACCCATGTCACTGTCCCTAGGAAAGGAGAGGCACAACTCATGAGACATAGGGCAGGCCAAACCCTAGTTTATTTCAGTGTCAGCAACAGCTTAGCCATCAAAAAAATAAACTCTACGCAGGACGACAGAAGTCTCTACAGCGAGGCTAAAGGGCTCAGCCGCTGCGGCAAACATCAGGGATGCATGGCGGGCACTGCCCGGGTATTAGGTTAGGAAGCAGCAGGCTGGTGACGGTGAGGGCCAGGCTTCACTTCTGGGCAGGCATAAGGTCATCGATAGGCTGACCCTGCTCAAGCCGCTGCTCCATCTCAATGAGTAACTTCACTCCATCCACCACCATCTGCACCAGCTCCACCTCGGAGAAGCCTAGGCGGTCCGAGTTGGAGACATCGAAAACTCCACCAACAGCAGCGGTATCCACACCGCCTAGGGAGGGGGAAAACAGGTCAGCAGGACCGAGGAAACCTGAACCCTCTGCCCCCTCACCTGTGCTGCCTGCCGCTCACCTGTGCCTCGCTTCTGAAGCCGCAGCCGCTTGAGCACCTCCGAGAACTTCTCATGCTTGCCCAGGTGGGGCAGCTTGATGTGCACACCTGCCCGCAGGCCAGTGCCCAGGTTCGATGGGCACGTGAGGATGTAGCCCAAGTGAGGGTTCCACATGAACTCATAGTTCTTGGACTTGAAGAGGGTTTCAATCTGGAGGTGGGGAAGGGAGAGTTCAGAGGGGAAACCTGACTGGAAGCCCCAAGGAACGCGGGGAGATGTGGACTCTGGGTTCTGCCCCAACCCCTCCCAGGAACCAAGCCCCTAGAGTGTGGGCACCAGGCCTGACCTGGGTGAGGCCAGTGCAGAATCTGGTGAACACTTCCTTCATGTTGCCCCCTTTCTGCATGGAGATGACCCGCAGGTGGTCCTCCTCGTTGATCCACACCAGGAAAGTCTTATTGTCATTGTGCCTGGGGAAGGGGTTCAGTCAAGCCAAACACCCTCCCAGAATACAGTCTTAGATCACATCCAAAACGACACCTTATGGGTGACCCTCAAACAAAAGAGAGCTTCCAAAGTCACGGAGGTGCTTATTCTAGAGAGGTACAGCAGTGTGGGCTGTCGCCAAGACTCCCATCCCAGCAACACTGGAGGAAGGCAGGGCGAACAGGGCACCAATCACGTGGTGTGTGGCAAGCAAGGGACTGAAGCAGGCGGAGCAGCCCCCCGGAGGAAGCACGCCTCCGCCCTCACAGTCCGCAGGAGTAGGAACCCTGCCCGGACGGGTGCGGAGGCTTTTGCGTCACTGGCACCTGGCAGAATCCCGGCGGGGTATGGGGGTGAGAAGGAGGAGAGAAAACAAGAAGCACCGGCTCCCGAGAGACTGGTCACAACCCTTAACTCCCTGTAGACTGCGGCCTCCCGCAGCGCAGGTTCTCACACTCCTGCGGGATCAAGGTCACCTGCGAGGAGGAGGGCTGGGACTGGGTGACGCTGCGCACGGAACCGTGAGCTCAGGCCGGGCTCCACCCTCCGGGGGACTGTGATGGGGGGGGAGGGCTCGTACCATATACCGCGAGCATCCGGCCAGTCGCGGGCCATGCCGGAGGCCAGCAGCAGAGGCGACACAGGTTTATCGAAGAGGAAGTGGTCGTCGATGAGCTGCTGTTGCTCCGCTTCGGTCATGCTCTTGAGCGCGTAGTACTTGCCTGATAGGTCTCCGTCCAGGCTGGATAGGGCTGCAGAGTGCAGGGTTCAAGTCTCGGGTGGGCGGGCAAGTGCCCGGCCCCAAACAGTGTATACCCGCGCACGAGAGGCTGGACCTTTGACCCTCTCAGTCCCAGCTGCTCTACGGGCAGATAGATACCAGACCCCTACCTTCTACTGCCAGCTTCTCGATGGCGCGGCGCTCCCCGCGGCTGCAGTGCGGGGGAAGACAAAAGCCGCGGATGCTGCGGCCCGTGCGCACCCGCGAGCTCAGCACGTAGTTGGGGTCCAGGTCATCGCCGCCCTGAGGACGCAAAGTGGTGGCGGGAGTGAGCCCCGAGGCCCCTCTCCCCATCACGCCCTGATCCGGCAGCCCCGCACCTGCAGATTGTCGGGGTTGAGGTCAGTCTTGTGCTCATCGCTGGGCTGGTAGCCGCCATGCCGGTCCTCAATGATGGGGTCGAAGAGGTCCTTGAATACGACGTAAGTCTCCTCGTCGCCCGCCACTGCACCCACCGTCATGATGTACGGGTGGCCTGGGGGAGGGGCGCGGCGACAGTGACGTCACCACCAGGCTGGAGCGAGCTGCTGAGGCCCCTGCGGCTGAGCGCGGGAAGGGGATCAGGGGACCCCAACCCGCCAGAGGTTGAGGGAAGGGCAGTGGGACCCTTGCCCTGGGGTTTCTTGGGGAGACGGAAGTCAGACGCCTACAGGGGTGTGCATACCCGGATTGTCTACGCCAGTCTGAATGGCGTCGTCCAAGGTGAAGCCGCTTGACGTGCACTTGGCACGGAGCTCGGCGTACAGCTCCGGGGTCAGCACCTTGGCCATATGGTTGTTATGGCTGCTCAGATCAGGGAACTCATCCTCGGCCGGGAAGCGCAGCTTCTGCGTATTATGGCTGTTGGAGAAGGGCATGGCGGCGGCGACGGGCTGCAGGAAAGCGCAGGGTCAGAGGAGGTCTGCACACCGAGGGACCTGCAGACCGCTCGAGACCTCCGTAGCTTCCCCCGGACGATGCCAAGGTCAGCGGGGTCTGCACCGTCTGCACCCGGCGCCCGTGCATCCCTGGTCCCGGGCGGGTCCGGTGCGCGCTCCCGGCAGCACGGCTGCGCGTGACACCCCAGTCCCGCACCCCTCCGCGTGGCGCCCCGCGCGGTTACCCCTGACCCTTGGACCCGCTCACCAGGATGCCGAACAGAGCGGGGATGCAAAGTGCCTAACCAGCTCCAGGCGCAGCACAGACGAACGGCGGCCGCTCGCTGCTCCGGAGCTCTTAAGGGACGCGTTGCCAGCAGCCCATTGGCGGCTATTTATAGCCCATTCATTCTATTGGTCCGCGCTTTGGGGTGGTGCCGTTGCTTTGTCCGTGGCAGCAGCCCTTAACACCCCCTAGCAGCCCACCCCAGCGGTTCCCGAGTCTCCACCCGGCGTAGCTTAGTTATCCCCTGCGGCGCTCTCGCAGGATCCCCAAGGCAGAACCCCAGGGCCTTAAGTATTCTTGGTAGACCTGCTTCACACACTGCCTCGCTGCGGGAAACTGAGTCTGGAAAGCCAGCTGGTCCTGGGGCTCCTGCCTTCCCCCTACCTCCTCCCTTGTCTGGCAGACCGCGGTGGCAAGGGACCTATCGAGAGCTTCCAGGTCTTTAACATTAGGTACGGTGTCCATCCACTGCATCCAGACGGTACGAAATGGCTCAGAGCCACTGACCTTCCTCAAGGTGCCCGCAGGCATCTCCTGGGTGTTCTTGATGCAGCACCAGAGGCGCAGTCTGGCTGAGGTCCAGCCCCGAAGCACCCAGGGTGTTCTGACCTTGGGAGGACTCTGAGGAACCGAGCCAAAACACTTGGACTTAGACCCTAAAAGATTCAAGACTCTGAGCTGTGAGAGATTGAGAATCCAAACCTCCATCCCCTGGCCCTTAACTCAGGAGACCGGTTCCTACCACCCCACCCACAAAGACAGTACCCACAGTCGACAGGCAAACGGAGTGGAGAAAGCACCCATTAAAAACAAGCTCACTAATCAGAACCAACACACGGAAACAGTCTCTCTTCCCCAGCCTCACACACCCAAGTATGAGGAAATGTGGACGGCTGACCCCAGATAGTGCCGGCTGTGAACTCCTCTGTGAAGACAGACATTCGCACCCTGTCTGCAGCTGCCAGCCACTTCATCTTTTCTGGAAAGTAATTTGGCAGTATTTATTATAATAGAAATATGGTCTAACTCCATGACCTAGCAATCCCAGGAATTCTAGGAATCCAGAATAGAAAGGACAGCGTCCCTTCTCTGCAGATAGGTCAGGAAATGTGTAGTGGGAAAGACTAGTTCGCGTTGGACCTGATGCTGGTCTCTGAGGAGCGAGGGCACTAGCCGTCGGTGGAAAAGGGTGCAGAATAGCGGTGGTGCCGGTAAAATATAGAAGTGAGCTTTCATGCTTAATGTCCTCTCACTCCCCCTCACTCACGGCTGTGCAAAACTAGGGAGCCTCGCTGGGTGGTGGTGGCACACACCTTTAATCCCAGCACTCGAGAGGCAGAGGCAGGTGAATCTCTGTGAGTTCGAGGCCAACCTGGTCTACAAGAGCAAGTTCCAGGACAGGCTCCAAAGCTACATAGAAAGCCTGTCTCCAGAAAAAAATCTAGAGAGCCTCTCATTCTTGTGCATTTGACAGAAACCGTTCAGGTGCCAGATACAAGGAAGACAAGAAGGAGGTGCACAAGGGGATTGGATCTCTGCCTTCCTGCCAGAGCCGGGCTGCCCTGAGAGAATGCCTGCGGGAGGGATGGCAGGAATCCCAGGCTTGAGGGATGATGTGCTGGAGCTTCAGCAGAAGGCTATGGAGCAGAGAACTCAGGGCAGAAAGCCTGCCTGCCGGCCTGCCTCTACCTGGGTCAGCATGAAGGACCACAGCTGCACTGTCCTCAAAGACAACTAGTAAATCCACCTGTTCTCTCCCTTGCCTTGACCAGTTTCAACCTCTTCTGTTTGAGACAAGAGCCTGTAAACCAGGCTCCTCCTGCCTCAGCCTCCCAAGTCCTAGTATTATAGGGTTGAGCCAACGTGCCCAGATCAAGTCACTATTTTGTAAGCCAATTAAAACAACCCCATATAGGAAACCTGCTGGGGATGGTGGTATCCAGCTCCTTTAATCTCAGCACTCAGGAATTAGAGGCAGGTGGAATTATCTGCGAGTTAGGGCCAGCCTAGTCTACATGATGAGTTTCAGGACAGCCAGGATTACATAGAGACCTTGACACCCCCCCCCCAAAAAAAGGTATGTGGAGACAAACACCTATTATGCCAGCACATAGGAGGTGGAGGCAGGAAGATCAGGAATTCAAAGCCAGCCTGGGCTCCATGAGCTCCTATTTAAAAAAAAAAAAATCCCCAGGCTAGACAGCAGGTGTGCCATAAGCTTATAATCCCTGTATTCTATGCCCCCTTCAGCCTCCTCAGAAATATCTGCAGCTGCCAACCTACCCCTCTCAGGGAAACTGGTTCAGCATGAGCCCCAAGTGCTCAAGTTTCTGTCTGTTTCTAGAAGTAGAGAGGAAGCAAACTTGGTGTCCAGGCTTGGGTGGGGGTAGGGGGTTCAGGACTTCCTCTTTGTCTCCAGCATTTACAGTTTCTCTGCCTCCTCTCCTCCCTTACCCGCCTCCCATCTCCCTGTGAGGACAAGGCCAGGACTCTAGTAAAGGTAAGGAACAGAAGGCAGTTGCAAGTCTGTCCACCGTGGCAGTGAACCACGCCCAGCACTGGAACAGGCGCCTGTGACCTTCAGCCTCGGTCTCGTTCTAAGACCGAAACCTAAAGGAAGATTGGCCGCTGAGAGAAAGAAGTACTGGCTCAGATGCCCAGATATCCCCCAGTGGTCCTAGGGTGCCTAACTTTGGGGGACAGACAGCAGAGACAACATCAGGGTAGAGAGACGAAGGGACTTCACAGCCTTTAGACCACAGATCAGTGTGAGGCTCCCCACTTGGGGGGCATTGCTCAGAAGTCCTGGAGGCCCTCACAGCAATGGAGAAAGGTCAGGGCCTGCTTATTCAGCCTAGACCCGACTGGGCCCTCTGCTATCCTTGGCAATCACAGTAGCTGCTTTGGCAGCTTCTGGGCAAGAAGCTTGGTGACATCACTCAGTAGAATTATGGTTCCATCTCCTTAGAAATCACCCAAGTCATACATTGACCTCAGGGCCTGGATGGGGCCTCAAAGGAGTCCCAGGAATTTTCTTCACGAGCACTGTCCAGCCCAGCAGGGCAAGTACAGGCACAGACAGAGCCAGGCTCTAGGTTCCACATAGAGGCCACTCTCAGTCCTGTGCCCAGGGTGCATTACTGCTTCGCTGCTTCCTGGCTCGTGGAATGCAAAGGGGAAGTTGGCAAGGGTAAAGAGAGGGGCAGGGGCTGCAGGGCACAGTGAAACAGGAGGCTATGCCAGTCAGAGGGAACTCCTCTTTGTTTTTATGGGTTTTGTTTCTTTTTTGAGACAGGATTCTCCGTAGCTTTGGAGCCTGTCCTGGACCTAGCTCTTGTAGACCAGGCTGGCCTCGAACTCACAGAGATCAGCCTGCCTCTGCCTCCCAAGTGCTGGGATTAAAGACGTGCACCACCTTGAAAAATCCAGGCTGAAGCTAAGCGTGATAAGGTGGACTGGAGAAGGGACACAGGAGGGACAGGGATACAGCAGTGGACAGCTGGGACCAAGGGAAAACCCCTGTTGAGCTCATCTAGAGACATAGTCAGCCCTGGTTTCCATGCCGCTGAGAGGCTGGGGAAGAGGAACCTCCGAGGAGAAGTGGAAAGTCTAACTCTCCAGAGGAGCAATTAGGGTGTGGATTGGGCTGTGCACCATCAGGGAGTGAAGGAGCCTACTAGAACAGGGACTGTGGAGCCAAGGACTGGGATGTCTCAGCTAACAGCTGTGCCTTCCCAGCCTGCGAGACCAAGAAAGCCTCATTGCCTATCCTTCCTGGCTACCAGATCAAGGCCAGCTAGGGCGGAGACCTGGAGAGGTCTAATGTCAGGAACCTGGGTTCCTTCACACAGGCTGGCCTAGTCTGGCCCCAGAGGAGTCCCACTAGCCAGCAGGACTCTAGGAAGGGCATGTTTGTGGAGCCGGGCCACCCCCACTTTACCAGGCTACAGTAGCCTGGTGGCTGGAGAGTGCAGCCCAGAGTTGGTCACTGCTACTGGTTCTGAGTAACTCAAGTCTCATGCCCTCCAATTCCACTAGCTGAGGACCGCAGGAAAGCTCTTCACTCCCCACCCCAGTACTCCTCCCCTCTCCACTTCATCCTCCACTCCGGGGAAGAACCTTTCCACGGGGGCTCTGATTCAGCACTGCTGAGACAAAACACTCCTACAGCTTCCCCTTTCCGCCTGGTCTCCAGCAGCTCCTCCCCCAGGCCACTGCGTGAGCCCAGTTCATCCAGCTCTCAAGATGCCAGGGATAGCAGGGCCTGGCCTAAGGCCACTTTTGCGGAATGCTCCGGACTATCCCTGCTCCTTATACTTGGCCTGGCCCTGGCCAAAGTCTCTGGGTGTCCCACCGCTGCCTCCGGTTCCACTTTCTAGGATTCATCCTGGGCTCCAGGCAGGGTGTTTCAGAGCTAATTGCAATGACGAAACGTTCTGGTGGGCTCTAATAAGGAAGCCCTGGGGTTACACAGTTGCCAAAGTGCACTTTAGGGGTAGGCGTATCCAGCGGGCAGAAGCTCCACGCTCTGGGCAACCCTAAAAGGCGGCACGCAGACAAACCGCTGGCGAGGAGAGGACTTTTATTTTGCACACTGCTCGGATCTCTTAGGCAACGCGCAAGTATGCACAGAAGACCACAGGCATGAAGACGCCAGCCAGGAAGCATCCTCTGGGAGCGCGCAAAGGACAGAGCAGTCTCCCAGCAATCTCTGCGTTGTTGGCGTCATCAAAGACGCGCCGGAAGTGTGGCTGCCGCTGCGGAGCCACGTGTGGAGCAGAGAGCCGGTGTAAACTGGGTAAGTTTCGGAGCTGGCATCTGCGGCTAGGGTGGGAGCGGCGCTCCGGGCCTGCCTGCAGGTCCCGTGCAGAGAAACGTCCGGGCCGTCGGGATCCCGCTCGGGGTACTCCGGGGAAGGGGTTCCGCGGAATCCTGGCTTGGAGGTGACTTCGCTCTCCCGCTTTGCACGCCTCTCGGAGGCCACCGTCTTCACAGCTGAGGAATAAGGACTTTGTTCTGGTCCTTCTGGTGTGGGAATCCTTGGGCCTCTACTATTGTGCGCTGTCTCGTGTGTTCTTCCAGACCTAGAAGGACTGCATTTGTCTGGCTAGGGTGCAGCTCAGTTGGGTTGCCCCATACTGCTCAGAACCCGGGCCCCACAGACCTCTACCTAAACCACAGATCCTCATCCTGCCTCCTGGTCCTCTGACTTCACGCCTCACGCCCACACACCACTTCTCCAGGTCTCTGACACTTGGCAGATGTTAACACCATGAGCTTCGTGGCATACGAGGAGCTGATCAAGGAAGGCGACACAGCCATCCTGTCACTGGGCCATGGCTCGATGATGGCAGTGCGTGTGCAGCGTGGGGCACAGACCCAGACCCGGCATGGCGTCCTGCGGCACTCAGTGGACCTCATTGGCCGCCCATTTGGCTCCAAGGTGATCTGCAGCAGAGGCGGCTGGGTGTATGTGCTTCACCCCACTCCTGAGCTCTGGACTGTGAACCTGCCCCACCGCACTCAGATCCTCTACTCCACCGACATTGCCTTACTCACCATGATGCTGGAGCTGCGACCCGGTTCTGTGGTCTGTGAGTCAGGTGAGCTCCTCTGGTGTCTTCAGAGCTCAGCACCTACGTAAGGTGGGATTCAGACCCACACACAGTTAAGATAGTTTGCAGTCAGCCAGGAGGTGGTGGCACACATCTTTAATCCCAGCACTAGGGAGGCAGAGGCAGGCAGATCTCTGTGAGTTCGAGGCCAGCTTGGTCTACAAAGCAAGTTCCAGGACAGCCAGGGCTGTTACACAGAGAAACCCTGTCTCGAAAAAAAAAGTTTGCAGCCAAGCCATCTTGCAGATGTGAGCTGAATTACTTGGTTTCTGTTCTAGCAGCTCCACTCGGTGGGGAGGGAGTGACTGCAGGGAGTGAAATGACATCTGATGGGGACTGACCTGGGTGGGAGGAGGAAGAAGAGGGAGCAACAGTGCCCTCTGAGGGTCCTGGCTTGCTTTGATGTAGCAGCAGGCTTGTTTGGTGCTGGCCAAGGTGCTGACTGCTCGTCTCTTTGCCGGCCTTCCTGGAAGGAGGCTGATTATCCCAAGAGCTCATTGTAGTGAAAATTCAGCCCCACACACACTCGCGGTCAGCCCCTCACCTAGTTCCAGTGAAGATTATCAACACCGTCACTGAGACAAGGACGGGGGGGGGGTAGAAGTGCATGAGAGCCAGCTGTCTCTCACACACACACCCCTAGGTGCTGTGACCACTGCATGCAGCAATCTATCATGTATCTCCCACAGGGATGAGTCCTGGACCAGATGTGACTAGAGCCTTGGTGGTGTGTTTGTGGTGGGCTATGGTGGGCTAAGAAACTGGGGTTCGGGGTCACTACAGTTCCCGTTCTCCCTATCCTGGCATTCTCTCCCTGCAGAGGGAGACAGTGGACAGCAGAGTTGAGCGCCAGCCCTAACAACTCTCTGCATGGCCTGTAGTAGGCACTAGCCTCTCTCCGGCCCACACCCCTTTTCAGTCAGCACACTCCTGTGCTCCCATGTGGTACCAAGTTCCTGCCCTCAAAAAGACAAAATAGGCAGTGAGCCTAGTGACCATTCAGTGCTACTGATTGTGAGAGGCTTATAATCGGGGATGCTTGGTTGAGGATCCCCCAAACTCAGAAAGTCAGGGATCTGAGAAGGTGACCTTTGAGTTAAAAATGATGAAGTGTGGGGGCTGGAGAGATGGCTCAGACGTTAAGAGCATTGCCTGCTCTTCCAAAGGTCCTGAGTTCAATTCCCAGCAACCACATGGTGGCTCACAATCATCTGTAATGGGGTCTGGTGCCCTCTTCTGGCCTTCAGGCATACACACAGACAGACTATTGTATACATAATAAATAAATATTAAAAAAAATGAGGAAGTGCGACCAAAAGCCAAAGAAAAGTTGTCGAGGTGGGGTGCAGTGGCCGTGCGCACGCCCCAGGTGGGGTGCAGTGGCTGTGCGCATGCCCCAGGTGGGGTGCAGTGCTGGTGTGCATTGGCAAGAAGGCCACTGGCTGGGGCATGAAGTAAGGGCAGAGGAACAGAAGATGAGGTTGGGAAGCAAGAGGGAGTCTGGAGCCGCCCTTTAATGGGAAGGTAAGCCCGGTCACTGTGCAAAGCATAGATCTGATTGACAGTGGTAAAAAGAACAGAGGATCCAGGTGGTTGGTGGTGCACGCCTTTAAGCCCAGCTCTTTTTCTTTTCTTTTTTTTTTTTTCTTCAAGAAAGGGTTTCTCTGTAGCTTTGAAGCCTGTCCTGGAACTAGCTCTTGTAGACCAGGCTGGCCTCAAACTCACAGAGATCCACCTGCCTCTGCCTCCCAAGTGCTGGGATTAAAGGTATGTGCCAACAATCCCGGCTTAAGCCCAGCTCTTGAGAAGTAGAAGCAGGCGGATCTCATGAGTTTGAGGCCAGCCTGGTCTACAAAGGGAGTTCCAGAGCACATATTACACAGAGAAATCCTGTCTCGAAAAAACAAAAACAAAGGAACAGAGGCAGGACCAGCGTCTGCAGATAACAAAGAGGGAGGGACCTGGTGGGTGAAGCCCAGAGGCGGGAGAAGGAATCACTGATGATCTGGGGTGGGATGACAGAGTGGGTCTTGATGGTGGGTGGCTGAACAGTCTGGCCCCTGTGGTGGGTGTCACTTCCTGGGTCTTGGAGTGATCAGACTTGGATGGGGTCCAACTTTGAGCTTAGGGTTTTTTGTTTTTGTTTTGTTTTATGGTTTTTTGAGACGGGGTTTCTCTGTGTAGCCTTGACTGTCCTGGAACTAGCTCTTGTATACCTGGCAGTTCCTCTGCCTTTCAAGTGCTGGGATTAAAGGTGTGTGCCAACTACCCGGCTTAGGTTTGGGGGTTTTGTAAGAGCACTGCTACCTGCTACAGCGGGATCAAGAGGGTACTCTGCTAGAAATGGTCACCAAGCAGGAAAGAGCAGTTACAGGGTGAGTGGAGGCACAGGCTAGCACAGGTCCTCGAGCATATGAAGTCAGGTGAAGAAGGGTAGCCCTGCTTCTAAGGAAGAGTGGAGGCTTTTGGACAGACTGGTGACATTATGGGAAGGGTGGAGCTGGTTGACTTTAGATCACGTGAGCTCAAGCAAGAGCAGGTAGAATTGCCCTGTGCAGTGGGGGTGGATTTAGCAGGGTTGGAGGTGTGGGGAGGGTGAGCTGACCACTGACCTGAGTGAGTCAAGGAGCTCACGGGAGGAGGTAGAAAACATGAGGGACAGCTGTCAGTGAGGCTCGTGGATTGGCCACAGTTTAGAAGAGGCTAGGTCAGGATGGGACAGGCTAGCGCTAGCCCTGCCCAGACTCGCCTATGTCCTTTTCTGTGCCCATTCTACACAGCCCGGTATCCCAAACCCAGGGCCAAGGCTGCCAAGAGCAGACAGAGCTCATGATTTGATACACCCCTCTGACCCTGGGGTCAGCTGTCCTCTTAGGCCTGTTTGACCTTCTTCCTCCCAGATGGGGAGCTGTTGTGGGTGGGTATAGTCCTCAGATGACCCTTCAGTCCTCTCGTCTTGTCCTGCCAGGCACGGGCAGCGGCTCTGTCTCCCATGCCATCATCCGCAGCATCGCCCCCACTGGCCACCTACACACAGTGGAGTTCCACCAGCAGCGGGCCGATAAGGCCCGGGAGGAGTTCCAGGAGCATCGCGTGAGCCAGTGGGTGACTGTGCACACCCAGGATGTGTGCCGCAGTGGCTTTGGTGTCACCCATGTGGCCGATGCTGTCTTCTTGGATATCCCATCACCCTGGGAAGCTGTGGGCCATGCCTGGGATGCCCTCAAGGTTGAAGGTGTGTTGGAGTTCATAAGGGTGCTGGTGAGGGGCTGAACTTCTGGGTCATCTAGAACCCAGGGAGTTCCAGGTTCCTGTAAGCCACACAGTAGCAGTGGCCAGACCAGGGCTCCTTTTGGCCTAAAGTGAGGACTGACTTGGGCAGGCTAGAGACCAGGGTTAGGGAAAGATGGGTCTCATTCTTCAGCCTAGATAGGAACTCACTGAGTCCCAGGCCCTGGCAACTCCAGTGCAGGCAGGATCTATAAGACAGGACTCCAGGCCTGGATCCAATATGGAGGTCATAGGCAGTCCCCTGCCCCCAGCCATCTCCTGCAGACTCCCCACACCCATGCTGCAGAGTCGGGCAGCTGGACCCTTTTAGGGAAGATGCTGTGGAGGCGGAGCAAAGGGGAGGCCTGGAGAAGGTCGGCCCTGGGCCAGAGAGACTGCTGGTGAGTCCCCAGGATTTGCCTTTTCTGGAGAAGAAGCAGGCTTGGCAGAGGGTGGGGGAGCCTCTGAGACAGGCACTGCCCAGATCCCTGTGTCTACTGAGGAGGCCTGGAGCTGGGAGGGGAAGCCTGGAGGTCCACATCTGAAGGGCCCTGATGCAGGGTCCAAACCGGGCAGGGGAGCCTCCACAGAGTAGGCCAGAGGCATCTGTGCCTGTGTCCTGGGTCTTGTCCCTTGTCCCCTTCTTCTGGGCTCTTTCCCAGATCTGCACACCTTTTCTGTATGCCTGGTGTTTATAGCACTGCCTGTCTCTGGTGGCTCCTGCTCTCTGTGCTGACATCAGGCACAGTAGGGGACTACTTCATAACTGCCAGGTGTCCTGTGTCAGGGAGCACTGTGGGTACCAGGCCTGGGGACATCTGTACACACTCCTTCCCTGCCCTGACTTGCTCAAGATCCCCTGCCAAGATACGGATAGGGTGTCTCACAGTCTCTGGGCAGGCTGGGTGAAGCCTGTGGGCTGCCCCAGTGGGAGGCAGCAGGGAGGAGCTCAGACTGTGCTCTCTTTAGGCTCCTCCTGTTCCCAAGAGCCACCGACAGCCTCTAATTTCCTGTGACAGCAGCCGCCCACACCCCGCCCTATGCTACCCTATTGTTAGAGCTATTCTTGGGCCTGACTCTGACAACCCTGACCCCCAGCCCTCCACTGCCTCCTACAAGGCAGGCTAGTGATGCCTGCTGGCAGCCAGGGAAACCCAGGCATCTTGGGCTTAGTCCTGGCTGCTGACTTGGGCTCATGCAGGGAGGAGGGCCACATGGGCCAGCAGACAGGGCACAGCTCTACAGCTTCCTCAGGCCCCTGCATGGTTCCTTGGTCTGAGGGCTTACAGTCTGCAGGCAGTCTTGAGCCAGCCTTAGGTCCAGGGTGGCTTGTGGCTGCCCTCTGACCCCGTGTCTTGCTCCTGCAGGTGGGCGCTTCTGCTCCTTCTCTCCGTGCATCGAGCAGGTACAGCGCACGTGCCAGGCACTGGCGGTCCGAGGCTTCACCGAGCTCAGCACCCTGGAGGTGCTGCCACAGGTCTACAATGTGCGCACCATCAGTCTACCCTCGCCTGACCTGGGAGCCAGTGACTCAGAGGTCAGCGCGGGCTCCGATGCCAGCCCCTTCCGTAGTGGCACACCCATGAAGGAGACTGTGGGCCACACTGGCTACCTGACTTTCGCCACCAAGACTCCAGGCTAGCAGGCCTGGGCAGGAATACCACGAGCAAGCAAGGAGGCCACAGGCTGCCTTATATGGTCAGCCACTGCCTGTGAGGCTTGTGTTTAGAAATAGTTGGCAGGGTTGGGGGGCAGGGGCCTCCTGGGTAGTTGAGGGGGGGTGAGTAGGCTGGCCCTGTTCAAGAGGGAGGCATTGCCGTCTGAGAGGGAAGCCTCCGCCCCATCACTGCTCCCCACAGGCTCTCTGTTGTCAACATGAAGTCCCCTCTGCCAGAGGCTCTCCTGGTTGCTGAGACCAGATGGTACAAGCTGACGGCGGAGGAAGCCCTGGGCACTGCTTGAAGCCTGGACTGACCTACAGGGACAGTGAACTGTCCCTTCCCTGGTAAAGGCTCCAACCACTGGTGGTCCAGAGCTTAGCCACAAGCTGTGGTTGAGCTAACCCAGAAAGCCTGGCCCTGCCTTTATCTCCTCTGTATCCCTGGGGCTGGAGCCAGGCTGGCCTGGGGATCCAAGGAGGTGACCCCATAGTCTTGAGTGCTGTGTGGGCCATGTGTGAGCGCACTTGTGCCCAGGATTCCTGATGTGCTGTCCTCTGGGACTAGGCTCGTCCTGTGCTAAGGGAGTCCAGTAGGCGGGTCTACGCCTCCAGTGATCTCTCAAGCCCATGTTGGAGCTAGGGTCAGAGAGGGGCCATGGAAGAGGTGGCGCATGGCCTAGGAGCTCTGGCTGTGGCCCTGCTGCACATGTCACCTTGGGGCTGCCCTGCGTCTGCTGCTGATGCATGGAACCAGCCTTTGGGAGAATTGTCTGTGTCCTGTTGGCCCCTGAGCATACCTAGTGGAGCAATAAATGTTCTGTCTTATCCCCTACCGCATTGACCGTTCTTCTGCCTGCTGAAGGGGCTGTCCTTCGGCTGGTACCCAGGCCCACTGCCCCACGCTTGGCATCTGACCTCTGTCCTTCCTCTCTATTCTGAGGGGTGCTGTCCAAACTCTAGGACATCAGCCCAGGGCTCTTCACAAAGGCACAAATGTGGCCACCTCCGCCCCCTGCAGAAACGGCCTCCTGGCCCTGGAGGTGGAATACTGGGCCTCTGGCTTGGCACCAGGCTTCCCTCTGCAGCTCCTGTTCCACGTCCCTTCCTAACTCAGCGTTCCCAGTGCTGACTTTCTAGGCTGCCCATTCCCTATGCAGCATCAATTGTAAGTCAACCTGCGGACGGAAACTCCATGGCTCAGGAGGCACGTGTACCCTCAGGGCCTGGTATCGGTATTAACGTAATGCCCAGACTGGATGGTGTGAGAGGCCCCTGGGCCTTGTCGCTTCAGTGCCAGCAGTTCCTAAAAGGCTGAAAGCCACCCACCCTGCCTGGCCCCGCGTTCTCTGCTCTGTTATGGAACACGTAGGCCAGTAGCCAGCAAGGCCCAGGATATCTTTTTTTTCCCTATGGAGCTCACAAGGCTGGATGTCATATGGGAGTTACCAAGGCCTGGGTGAGGAACTGTTGCCAAGGCTGGAAAAACCCAATCTCCCTACTGTCCCGTGGGCTAACCAAATTCTGCTTTTATAGTTTGTGGGCCTTGAAGGACTAACCCAACCCCAGTTCACCTCTGAGCCCAGCTCAGACTGGAGCTCCAGCTGGTACAGAACTTAGCTCTGAGCTTCGCACCTCAGGCTCTGCTCAGATCTACAGAACTTAGCTCTAAGCTTCATACCTCAGGCTCTGCTCAGATCTTCCTCATTTGTTTGGTGATGGAGCAGGGTTTCTCATTGTAACCCTAATTGGCCTGGAACCTGCTCTGTAGACCAGAATGACCTTAAGATCAGAGACCTGCCTGTCTCTACCTCCTGAGTGCTGGAATTAAAGGTGTGCATCACCACTGCTCAGCAAATCATCCCTTATTTGTGTGAGGTTGTCAGATCTTGGAATTATAATCAGCTGTTAGTTGTCATGTGGTTGCTGGGAATTGAACCTGGGTCCTCTGGAAGAGCAGTCAGTGCTCTTAACCGCTGAGCCATCTCAAATCATCCCTACTTGACCTCCTCACTCTCAGCCAGGAGTGTTCAGCTCAGCCATCCTTTGCCTTACACCCTATGCTGGTTTGCTAAGGGCTGTCTAGCTTGGAAATCCCCAAGACGAAGGTCCCCAGGTCCTACAGACTGAGTCGGACTCCCATGGTGGGTGAATCCTGTTAGGCGATCCTGGGTGGTCACCTGACATAGGCAAGACCATAGAAACTCTTCATCCAACCTGACTCCTGTCTCTGGCCCTCAGTCTCCCTTAGACCTTTTCCTGGGTCACAGCCTCCTGCACTCTGGTTAGGGCAGCAGCGCAATTCCTTAGCAGGAGCCTGACTTAGAGCACCAACCCTGGGGGCCCTGGATGCATCCCCAGGTGCAGATCCTGTTCACTTGCTGGACGCTCCTGGCCAGGACAGTCAGCTTCTCCTAAGGGGTATGCCTCCTTTTTGGCCACCTGTGAGCTGTGCCCAGGCCTCAAGATGTGCTGCCCTCTGAGGGGTTTCCAGCAAGGGCTCTGGCATCTAGTGTTGCGTCTCCGGATGCGGAGTGGGTGGCACAAGGGTTCAGGGGACACCTCTGCCTCTTACATTGTCTCAGTCTCCTGGAGCCTGCCCTTGCTGTGCCCTCTCCTCTCCTCTCCTTCTGACCTCTGTACTGTCATCTCTTCCTGTCTCAGCCTGGTCTGCGTCCTGGGAACAGGCAGATTGCCAGGGCACCCCAGTACCATGGAGAAGTTCTCCCTGCCCGCCACTGCAAATGCTACACTGGTGGGGAAACAAGACTACCCAGCTTGTACATCAGAGGCCAAGGCAGATGGTGGTGAACACTTGTGGTATTCGGGCCAGCCTATGCTGCTCTTGCTTGGTCAGTTGAATAAGAGACTCCTTAAGGAGGGTCCTCCATCAGCCTGAGCTCCTGAGGCCACAGGAGCATCTGGGAGAGGACAGTGCCCAATGCCCCCAGCTCTGTACCCACAGTGGTGAGGAGTTTTACTTCACAGCTGGCCATGCTTGAACCAGGCACACAGTGTGGGAGATATGAGCAGCAGAGGAAAGCAGGGGCTCAACTCTGCTGTGTGGGTCCCAAGAAAGGGACCACGGGTTTATAGAGTTGACCCAGCAGCCCTTAGGCATGCAGGATGGGGGTGTGCTCAGTCTCTGGATATGCCCCTCAGGTTGGTGGTGAGTCATCTCTCTGTGGGGATGAGACAGTGACAGCCTCGTGGCTTATTGAGAGTATGTCATGTCAATGGTTCGAACAGTCAGCTTGCAAAATGCTATTGTGATTTTGCTGCCTGCTCCCAGAAGCCCTCCTTGTGTGTATGGGGGGTGGAGGGTGGGGGTGGCTGGCAAGATGGCTCAGCAGGTAAAAGCAGGCTCCTGCTACCAAACTTGATAAGCATACTTCAGTCTCTGGACCCGCATGGCGCACGGAGAGAACCATCTGACTTCCACGTGTGCCCTATGGGACATACAAGCATCCCTGTCCCCCTCCCCCACAAAAATAAATAGGCAATAAAAAATGTATGTGTGCTTGTAAGCATGTGTACGTGTGTGTGTGTGTGTGTGTGTGTGTGTGTGTGTGTGTGTGTGTGTGTGTAAGCCAGAGAACAGCCACCTGCCTCCTTTAAGATAGAGTCTCATTGATCTGGAGCTCACCACTTAGGTGAGACTGGCTGGCCAGGAATCCCGTGTGTCCTCTCTAGCAGTGGGATTATAAATTTGTCACCACACCTGTCTGTTTCTCATTGATTCTGAGCGTTCAGCTTGAGACGTGCTGTAGCAATGGAACTGTCCCCAGTTCAGCCCTCTCTTGTCTGTTTCAGAATCTAAGGCCAGAATTTGGTTCCATCCGTAGTCCATTCGAGATGTGCCTTTGTGCTCCAGGCAGCAGGCGCTCTGCCATGGCCTTTGCGTTTCTGGGGCCCCTGAGTCATGAGGACCATGGCAGAAAAAGTCAGGGCGTTGGTGTGCTTCCTTGTGTGTTGGAGCTGACTAGCTCTGCCTGGGCGTGAGCAGAAACACTCTCTCTCTCTCTCTCTCTCTCTCTCTCTCTCTCTCTCTCTGTGTGTGTGTGTGTGTGTGTGTGTTTTGTTTTCTGAGACAGGGTTTCTCTATATAACAGTCCTGGCTGTCCTGGAATTTGCTCTGTAGGCCTCAAATTTATTGAGATCTGCCTGCCTCTGTCTCCCAAGTGCTGGGATTAAAGACATGAGCCACCACCCGGCAGCTCCCTCTCTCTTGACCTTTACAGGTTCCCAGGTGGCGTATTCACTAGCTGCTGCTATAGACATGCAGGGTAACATGTAACCCCGAAGGAGTGAGAATAGCAGACAGACCTGCTCTTGAGACTTAGGGTAGAGCAGAGCGGATGTCAGCTTGCTGCTGCTGGCTGCCTCTCCTGCTGGGACTTATGCCAGCATCACGAGGTACAGCAAGTCCCAGCCCAGCCGCACTGGGGCCATCAAAGCTTTTGGTCTCATTGTGTCCAGAGATACTTCACTAGTCACTGGTTGAAGCAGAGCTTATGCCTGGCCTGGAGGAGAGAGAGAGAGAGGAAGAGATGGAGGGAGGGAGAGAGGGAGGGAGGGAGGGAGGGAGGGATGGAGGAAGGGAGGGAGGAGATATCCTGGGGGAACAGCAGGTCACTGATTTAGGGAGATAAAGGAACAAGCCCTTTCTACCCTTTCCCAGCTCTGGGATGTAGCTGCAGAAGCCAGCAGCCTGTGGCCAGGCTGCAAAGCCTGTGGGCTCTGCATAGGGGTCACCAGCAAGTAGGGCCATGTCCACGAAGAGGAGCCTGGCCAGCCTGCTTTGAGTCTGTTGCCAGGACGAGGGCGTTTCAAAGTCAGGCTGCCTCCAAGGCGGGATCTTTAGCGGGAGGGAATAACTTGGCTCCCACCAGGCTGAGAATAGCTCAGAATTGGGTCACGCTCACCGAGCACTCCGGTCACAGCCTCCAGCCTTTGACAATAATCAGCTTTTTCCCCCCGACATCTGTCCCTTCAAAGAGGGGGAGGCAGTCATGGGCATGTTTTTAGAAGAATGTGAGAGGAAGCTGTTTTTGATGGACAGCCACCACCACCACGCACACACACACATGCCCAGGCTGGCAGCTTAAGCCCTCCTGCCCGTTCTGTTCCTCTCTCCATCCCCAGGACCCCTTAAACTCCTGCTCAAACTGAAGCAACCTTGGTTCTCCTTGCAGATGAAGATGGGGTTATCTGGGAGGCCGGAGCCCAGACCTGCCCCTGCCTCTCTTTTTTGTCCTGAGTGTTGGATGGATGGATGGATGGACGGACGGACGGACGGACAGACGGACGGACGGTCCATACTATTTCCCTTGTCTGTGGATGAAGGCAAAATGGTACTGGGCTGCCTTCCGTTAAGGACTCTGGGAGCTTAAGTTTCTCAGCTTCCAGTGACCTTCACCAAGGCAACCCCTCATACCAATTTGCCCAACATGAAACTCAGAAAATCTTTACCCAGATTTACCCAAACATGTTTCCACAAAACTCCAGTAGGCTTGCCTTGGCTGCACCGGGGCCCTGACCTTCCACAGCCTCATTGTCCTTGCCTACACATCCAGCTCTGCCTGCCTCTGCCCATGTGCCACGTCCTGCAAACAGAAGGTGTCAGACCAGGTGGGGAGTTTCCAGGATCTTGCCTGTGATGAGCCTGAGCAACACAGCTGGAGCCTTATGTTCTGAACCTCTTGGGTCAGTGGTCCCAGGGAAAAAGATGACCTAAGACCTAGAGCAGTGTTCTTCATGGTTTTAGCTGGTCTTCTGAGGGAAGAGGTCGGTATCTGATTGAGCTCAGAACCTCTCCTGGCTCTGGCAATGCCA